ACATATTACTGCATGATTGGGTTTGTCCTGGACCTCGTTTTAACCAACAACGACACAAGTCATTAAGCACTGTGCAATAAAACCGCCCAAAAACTAAACTTGGAATTAAAAGAGCCTGTTGGTCTGACAAAAACAAAGCTTACTTCAATTATATTTCTAACAATGCCTTTATTGAAACAATTGTATGTGCACTAAAAGAAATACTTTAATAGCAAACTCACTCTGTCATTTATGTCAATGTTATTGACGAAATAAGCAATACAAATAGATAGAAATTAAGACACGTGATAATTTTTTGTTTGTGGCTCTTTTGGACCTCGGTCACTTTTCCACTTTCTTAATCCTATACGCTGTCGATAGGCCTCCTTGGGAGAGGGATCAGCCCGTCGCAAGGTTTCTACCTACACGCAGAATAACACAAAGACACAATAAACGCACACAGACATTCATGACTCGAGTGGGATTCGAACCCAAGACGTCAGTGTTTTAGGGGGCGAAGACGGTTGACGCCTTAGACCGTGCGGCCACTATGACGGGCTAAGTGATAAGACATGACACTAAAATTCAATGTACGAAGAAATACAATTGTCCTCTTAAGGTCATTCATTTTCTCTCCCTCAACGACTTTAGAGGCTTCCCTCTTCCAGCTAGAGTGCGTACTGGGTTACGAAAAGATTAGAGATCATATGCCCCCCCACCAAGTGAGGACACACGTATAAAGTCATATTTATGAGCATAAGTGAAAAATACATCGGACATAGAGTTACTCCATAGTATTGGAAAGTCCAATTTATGAGAATTAATTAGTACAAATTTTATTTCAACCTTTTATTTGCCTTGAATGTTATGTACTGGGCCAAAACATAGCTTCACGGAACTTATAAGCGAATCATGAGATCAGAGACGAGGAGTGTGACTCCGTGGGACATATGACGGTGTTGTTTGGAACTGCGGTGCAGCTTAATTACGTAATCTGCCGAAATAAACATACGAGTTCGGGGAAAATGAAAGCATTTGATTTCAGAATCATGTGAACGACAATTTATTTTTTGACTCTGACTACCATTCCATCATTAATGAGTTATGATTTGTCCAGAAATAGAGGTGACAATAATTTGAATTGCAACTGTTTTTTAAACCAAAGAACGTTATTTTATATCTTCTGTATGAGTAATTTTCCTAAACGTTGAAGATTATAATTTTAAACGGTAAATACATAACTAGTTTTTCAAATAATCTTATGTATATCTCTACAAGAGATATGAAAGTTTGATAAAATTTTTATATCACATTTAGGAAACTTCTTTCAACATATACATATTTACAATGTGTTGAATTCAAGAATTTTCTAGCTGCAACACACAGACCAACCTGTACTTAGTTTCCGTTCATGAGACTATAATCATGGCAAAATACATTAATATCAAACATTTTTCTATCAAATATAATCTTGTGGTGTTGGAGAAGGATGGAGAAGATCAGTTGGACCGATTATGTGAGAAATGAAGAAGTGTTAATTAGAGTCAGTGAGCAGAGGAATATCCTACACGAAATAAGAAAACGGATGGCTAATTGGATTGGTCATGTTTTACGCAGAAACTGCCTTCTAAAAGAAGTTATTGAAGGAAAGATAGAGGGGCGGATAGAAGTAACAAGAAGACGAGCAAGAAGACGTAAGAAGATGCTGGATGACCTTGGGGACAGAAGAGGATACTGTCATTTGAAGGAGAAAGCTCTAGATCGCATTAAGTGGAGGAATTGTTTTGGAAGAGACTGTGGACCTGTCGTCTTGACAGATTACTGATGATGATGATGATGATGATGATGATAATCTCACTAAAGTAACTGAAGCAATATGTGAAATGGTAGGTCATATTCACAAACACTGAGGAAAGTTAAGGGCAACTAAACAGAAGAACTATGTCACTGGGAAGGATGCTGAAGTATTTACAGTTCGCGTATCGTACAGCAGGGATGCAGCCCACCTTTCGGTATGTTTTCATTTCCCAGTTAATTTTACTTGCCTCCAACTATATATTTATTAGTTTATACTGTATATTTTTATTTCTCCTGACTACAAACCTGATGGCTCTGTATTTTAATTACAGTATCTGCATCATGTACACCTAGTGGGGTTTACATAACGACGTTATATTTCAAATGTATATAAATCATACTGTGTAGTCAATTTAGTAGTAATGACGCATGAATCATTCTTTCTTACTTTGTTCTAAAAAATTTTGATTTATTTCATACTGGGTATAGGCCTATAGACATTAGCTCGAGTACATTCTGAGGGCGTTATTTGGTTATTTTAATTGACAAGAATTGTTTGTAGCGTTTTTCTTTTTTACATTTTATAAGAAATAGCAAATTAGGGGTTGCCCTTGCTTCACAATTCAGGATAAAATATATGCATCTTATGAAAATTATCTTATATGTAATTGTCACTTTGATGTAGGTTTGTGCACATACAAGAGGTAGTCAGCCTCATTATATGACAAATGGCATTGATTATCAAATGGCCCTGATGTAGCTTTTGGTACCACATATACTCCTACATATTTCCACATCTTGTACATTAGAGCCAGTTTGATCTATGTTTGTTTGCTGGCACTAGCAGAGGATTTTGACCTCAGGTATAATACTGGAATGAAATTTTCTGATGAATTTTCAAATTTGAAATTACACTAGTAAATTATAATATTAAATACATGTACATGTACATACATCATACAATAAAACACAAAGAAGGATACTGATCATTTCTACATAAATGCTATTTGATCAGAAAAGAGAGATGGTATGTTAACCCACTTTATCACCAATTCATGCTTACCAGAACATTGGTTTTAAGTACAGTCTTATATTCTTGATGGAAGAGCTTTCGGTTTTACAGACACACAAATAAGCATATGGATAATGCAGACTGGGTACTGGTTGGACAACTGAAGTTCAAATCCAGCGAAGCTCGGGATATACTTTTTTGATACCACATCCAGAACCAACGTTCATGCTCATCTAGTCTCCTACACCATTCCATGCAAGGAATCATTTCCCTTTGCTAACTAGCCGCAGCCTGGACCTGACTCACTTCTACTTCCCCACATATTTTCTTGTTTAAGCAGAGGAACAATCTTAATTACTTTAATTTTTTTCTTTATTCATAAGGGTTTGAATTAAAGCTCTAAATGCAGAAGGTCTGAATTAAAGATAAAAGTTTCTTGTTCCATTTAACGGTAGTATTTCAGTTTGTGAAACAGGTTGTGATGATGATAGTTATGAATGATGTCTTGGGAATGAAATGTGAGGAAAAAGCCATTGCTTGCATCATAATTGTGTGCCTGACTGAGCATCTAAAACACAACGAATAAACATGCTTAAGATTCCATGTGTAATCTCTTGTTTAGAAGACACCCTTATAAAATTTCATTAAAATACAGTTTTCTCGGTATCTCTCTAGGACTCAGTACACCAACGAGTACTATCATATATAACTAATTCTTCCGCTTTATGCGCTCTGTCAGCACACTATGTTATCATATTCTTATGCAGCAACTTAATTTTATTGTATCGAGAGGTACAGATTATAACTACCCGTTTTGAAAGAAGGACAAAATATTAATTAAAACAGATCTATAACGTTATGTAAATTGGCGTTTCAATCGTTGTCAATCTACAACAAGCTAGCTTCTGCAGATAAGGTTATTATTTTTATATCTATTAAATTACCCGATTTTTGTAATTGTTTAAAATCAAATATAAATTTTTATCTTTTATTGTTAAAAAATATAAGAACTCTGAGAGTATGAACCTATCATTGTATAACACTCACCTAAATTTCATGTTATGATCAGCATAAGTTTAATTAAATGACATTTATATACAATACATATGTAAGATCTTACTTGAATATCTTTGGCTCTGTTATGACTAACTTTGAAAGAATTGCAAGAATGAAGTCATGTGTTTCATATTATTAATCTGGAATACTGTAGGGACTTTGCTCTTTATTATACCATATGTTGCTGATTTCGATGTGAAGGATTTGTAAGAGTGATCTGAAGTTAATTCAAGATCGAGTACGTGGAAGATTTTGATATTGTTTAATTAAAACAATGTTGATATAAATGAATATGTATAAACTTCTAAATAACAGCTATATAATTTCTGCATTATAGTTGGAATAAAGAAGTGTCAATAGAAATATTTAAATGCTACTTTACGTGCCACATTCATACAAAGAAATGTCCAGAAACACACACAATATTCACCCTTGATGAGTGACATGGCTCAGGAATGTTGGTTCACACAAAGCAACTTGCAAACATTCTCTCTATAATCTTCTTTTGGCGTGAGCATATATCAGTTGATTAATCTCAACGACCATATTCTATTATGGAGGCAAGTATCTGACATTAAATATGATATCCATGAGCTAGATTGACTCTGCGAAGGGAAATGTTGATGTTAGTTGATCATGTATAATATCAGAAGGACTTAGAATATTGTGGCAAGCAATACTGACAATGCTCCTTCAATTTAAAAATACAAGATTTCGCTTTAAACTGTTTAAATATTTTACATCAATATAAATGGCTTGAGGCTAGACATATGTAAGCTATCGGATATGCAAAACAATTTTAATACACATCAAATATCATGAATGTTCTTATATCACTATATATAGCAACATAATTTCTTTCAAATTTGTGCTAGAATAATGTTATTTTAAACAAAGGGCTGCAGAATAGGTAATCCATAAAATCAAAATTGCATACATTACAAAACAAAAAGAGCATTGTCTAATTGATACCATTGTAAGAACAGAGAATATACATTTGATTCTTTAGACAAACATAATTAGCATTTCCCGTTTCTCTTTCACATTCATACACATATGACTTGGCTCACTTAGACCAATTCAATCACAGCATCATCACGTCTTTTTCTTTGTGTTCTCCTGCAATACCTATCTGTTCATTCCATTCAATATAATGTTCTGGTATGAGTTTACGATAAGTTGAAGTTTGACAACACTTCTCGTTGTTACCTTGAGCTTGGAGATGCATTTACAAGAGACAAGTGGGTGGTGACAAGCGCGATGATGCCACAAACTGCCAGAAGTGGGGCACAAGGAAGCAGGGGGGCGCAGCTTCCAGTAGCTGAAACAAAAAAACTATGTTTAGTCTCTAAGTTTTATCTCTTCCAACTTATCGTATAAAAAATGTAATGTTAGATGGATATGAAAAGATTAATGTAGTGAAGAGTTGTCCTCCACCAAAAAAATGCACGTAATATTGTTATCTGTGGGGAGAGAGTAGTGTGAAGAAAAATTACGGCTTCTTGATCGGATGATTGGATTTATTAACACCTTTACAATCATTCTTAAATACAGGTAAGTCAGCGCTACGGCTACCGCTGACTTACTCACTTCACGGATTATTAGGGAATGCTATGCGTTTCCTAGCAACGGGTTTATAACACAGAAACTATCACTTCAATCACTATGAAGTGTTCTGTCATTTCGTCTTTAATCATTCTGTGTTTCTGTCCTATTCTGTACTCAACTGCTTCGCTTCAAAGTCAAAGTACAAGTTACTTTACGACTGGTGGTTTACTGCCCATCAGTTCGTCTTGGTGACAGGTTCCTTGAGGACCACAACCAGAGATATTTTCCCCAAATGAACTCTTGCGGTAATAGTCCTTATGTAACATCCTCTCTGACGAGAATATGAGTTTGTCTCTTATGGACATGCTTGAATTTTCGTTAAATGTATTCGCACATAACATTTTATTGAAAATTCTTTCTTTTGCATTATACATAAGTCTTCCGTCAATACACGCTTTGCAGAGCAGATCATACACAAGGTACGTATCTTATGTACAACGACAGCTTAGTCTTTTGAGTGGTCGTAAGCTTGACCACCATGAAGTATAAGCTTCTTATATTTTCTACTGCTTCGACAAGTCAAAGTCAATGTCAAAGTCACATTGCGACTGACGGTCAGTTTCGGTGTCGAGCCCCATTTGGGGCTTATAACCAGGTATTTATTACTGTTTGACAGCTACTGTCTTGTTATTGTGGGCATGAAACACATAAAAACACCTTCTGTTGCCAGAATTGTTGTAGCGGCGTGTTACAACTGTAGCCGTCCGCCAACGTACAGCTGCCACGACTGTAGCTCGAGCTTGAGTTCTTAATCTCAGGTATACTGGAGCTTCGGGTATGGGAGTGGAGCACACTTCGGGGTTAATAATTCAGGGATCTCCAGAACACACCGTGTATTGCAGTTTTAATTTAAAGTTTCATTCAATGATCAATATTTACATTGTCCTCCAAGCTCGCCGCTCCGTCCATCCTACTCGCTACCCCTACTGTAAAACACTTCTCTGTTCTCTGTCTACATTTCAACTACGTCCTCCTCCGCGCCCTATAACCAACTGCCCTCTCTTTACAAGTGCCCCAGTGGGCATAAAAACCAGAAAATAAAAAGAGAAAGCCAAGGGTCGAGCCCGGCATCTGTCCTACATTCGTATTTTTCGAGATGCCCATAAACTTTTTTAGGTCTTCAAGGCACAAGAGCAGGGAACCCAAGACCCCTCCTGGCCGGTCTCGCACAAGGTCAGTTCATGGGTTTATGATACTTGGAGCAAACAGGTGACGTTAGGGATAATAGTGACATCCTAAGACTAAGGAGGAAAATAGCTGAATTACAGCTAGACGGTCCCGGGATGGTATCTCGCCGGAGAAGCGTCTCTCCTGGTGTTAAACAATGCATAAGTTGTAAGTTTTGAGGTTTTCACGGCGATGACTATGAAGAAAGTCGTCTTCTGGGATTTGGCGCCGTGTACTCTTGATGCATAAGTTGTTCATTCCCTTAATTAAATAGTTTTGGCGACGGACGTACGGTTACATTACTATATTACCTTGCACTGGACACCCTACTGTTGCGTATTCGTTGCCGCGAAAGTGTTTACGGAGTCGTTGCCTAGCAATGATGACATTCTTCTATTTTTGCAGGCGTTAGGAATGTGTTTATCTATGGACGGGGTTTTCTGGCTCCGTAGGTTAATGCTTTGAGCAAAACCGTCTGAGTGTTCTGAGAAAAGGAAAATTACATTAGAGTGCAGTCGCATTTTACGCGAATTTGAATTATGTGAATTTGAAATATTAAAATATAAAAAGTATAAATAAAGTCTCACGTTATGCCTACGTTTAAAACAATGCGAACTTGTTCCTGTGAGGAAACTTGTCTTGAATTGTGCAAAGTTTTCAGGAACGCATCCGTCACATAAAATATATCTCAATGTATTTTAATTCTTTATTGACCTTGAGAGTAATTTATTACAGATATGGATTGAGTGTCGTGAAAACAATCATAGTAAAGCTATCATGATATAGGCATTCTAAAACCATTGTTCCCTATAAGCACTTAAATAGGCCTACCAATAGAATTTACTCAAAAGTTCTAATTCTTCATGATATTCGAGAGTTATTCAAAGTTTGGGTAAAACTGAACCAATATAAACAAATATATTCACCTGCCAAATATTTTTTTTAACACTTCAGAACATAATTTAATCAAAATCTATGTAATAATATCATTAATAATGATAAGCAGACAGATGGATGGGTAGACAAGATTTTCTGCAATGGATTCATTGTGTTACTTTTGCAAATAGTGCACAAAAATTATTTCTGATGTACATGATCACATAGCAGTATGTGTAATTTTAAATAATACAGTTTCTTCGTTATGATACTTACCTGTCTTGAATACAATGCATACATGGCATTATTGGTGTATTTACTAACAAAGTGAATGTGAGTCACAGACATGACGAATTTCATATTTGTAACCGAGTGGCTGTGATGAGGTAAAATGCTGATTTGAAGATGCGGCTTTTGACTTTTGAATGAGTAACAGAGGACAGGCAAGTTACAGAGAAAGTGGATTAGAAGAGGTACAAAGCTGAAGGAAGAGGAACTTTCATTATGATTTCCTTTGTACTCTATAAGGAGCTAAGATAATTATCCATCGAGTTATCAGTGTAGCCTGGAGACGAGCCTTGAGCGAATTACTTTTAAATAACAAAGGAACTAATTTTGAAAATTAGAACACCGTGAATAAAGATTCTATATTACATGTTCTTCGTAATCTCTGACAGCCATTTTTCAACTGAAAATAAAATAATATATTTCACCATTACATATATACGTGGTGGAGTCATTAAGTTCGTGGAACGTGGTTTTATCGCATCATATTACAAGGTATTTTCATACACTTACGCAGACCCACATCGGCCCTCAAAATAGTTGCAGTTGGCCGCTATGGAAGTCTGCCAACGTTGATATAGCTGTCGAAGACATTGCTGAAACATGTTGGCAGTAAATTCTCGTACGACGTTTCGCGGCTATTCCACGAACTTACTGACTGTGGTAGTATATATATATATAACGTGTTTTTTATTCTACAAATGGTAAAAGTAAATAACATAAAGCGTATGCAGATAAAATTTACTCAGACATAGGTTAAGATCTTCATAGGAATACGTAGACCTACATACCGAATTTAGGAGTCAATACAGACAAGGGCTACAGAATGGATGCTCTAGGTTCGATTCCCGGCAGTGTGAGATAATAAGGAAATGTACATGTAGTGTACTGATTTTGAATGTTAATTAGCTTTTGTATAATAACCGTGATATGTAAAGTGACTATTAATGTAGCCCGGCAATTCTAACAGGGGAATTTTTATATTCCTTCAGAACACACCCAAAACATACAAATGAGACAGGAATTACATCAAAGTTAACCCTGTGAAGCATAGTGTTAAGTATATGTACTGCTTGCTTTAACATTCAAAAGTTCCAAATTTTCTCCATACAGAACATTTACAGGTTTCGTATGATGTTTTCATGAATAACTGGCTATTATTTTCCTAAAAAAACATTAACAGGATGGCTGTTTAATGGAAACGCATTGTATCCTGCGAGGTAAGAACTAAGAGACTGACTAACCAAACCAACTAACCGACCAACCAACTGCCCAACAGAGGAACTGAGTGACTGGCCATGAAACTGAGTCCTTTTTGAGAATCCTATTGTTCAACATGAGGGGTTTCATAACTTATTCTCTTCTCCAAGTATAATTAGAATGATTAAGTCAAGGGAAATGAGATAGACAGGGCATGTAGCACGAATGGGAGAGACGAGTAATGGGTGTAGGATATTGGTGGAGAAGCCAGAAGGAAAGAGACCACTAGGCAGACCAAGACGTAGGTGGGTGGGCAATATTAAAAAGGATCTTAGAGGGATAGGATGGGATGGTATGGATTCGATTGGTCTGGCTCAGGATAGAGACCAGTGAAGGGCTCTTGTGAACACGGTAATGAACCTTCGGGTTCCATAAAATGCTGAGAAATTCTTGAGTAGCTGCAGAATTGGCGGCTCCTTGAGAAGGGCTCAGCTCCATGATTAAGTAACTATTAGCAGTTCAACCAATCAAGGAATGTTCTGCATTTCATTTAACTTGAAAGTTGATAGCAGCCAATTACTGGTCAAAACTCCAAGCAAGATGAATCAGGTCCAAATCCTCTAACCTCTTTTCTTTAATGTCCATTTTAAAATTATCCTCCATCTACGCCTAGATCTTCCTAGTGTTCTCTCTCCTTCAGTTGTTCCTTTCAAAACTCTGCCTTAATTTCTCTCCTTTGACATGCGTGTTACATGTCCCGCCCAATTAATCCTCCTTCATTATTTTATTCTAATAAAATTTGGAGAGTTATAGTAATTTTGGAGCTACTAATATTGTANTACAGCAGACGAGAAGACGAAAGATTCTGTGGCTGAAAGGAAGAAGGTATTTTCCGAAATTCATCTGCTCTTCATTTCTTCGTGAATGCAATTTTGATTTGACACAAAAGGCTGTATACATTCCACCAGTTGGTACCGCGTGGTATATGAGTGTATTCTTCCTTCCCCCTCCCCCAAAATATATATTTTTTTTCTTTATGAAAACAGGAAAATCTTGAAAAATTAATCTAGGAAAAGTTACGTATAATAAATTATTAATGTAATTTTAAAGAAATCTTTAATAAATTACTGACTAAAAATTAACCTCCTACAGCACATCTCTTCGTGAGAAGGAACTAGTCACTTAGCTAGTCAAGATATGCCCTTACTTCTTATGGGAACACGTGAGTCCATCGTCTGATTATTCAGACTCGCATTCTGTACAAATTTCAGTGTTAATATCCCATCTAGCCCTAGGTCTGAAATGGTCTCTTCCTTCCACGATTTCTGACAAAAACGGTGTAGTTATTTCTCACTTATTCTCTGCTGTTTACATGCTCACACATCTCATTATTTGCGATGCTAACTGATGAAGTATGTAAATTAAGAACCCCATTATGCAAGTTTTTCCAACCTTAAGAAATTTAAGAAATTCAGCATGCAAGCAGTGCAAGAATTAAACTGGGAGTAACATTCAAAATTTCAGGATCGGATTTGATGCTTTTTTTCGCAGATATTAAAAAATTCTACGTTTTTAAGGTACTATACTTCTATAATGTGAAAGAAATAACTGCATTGCTCGTATAATTTTACAAATAATGCCACTGAGTTTGAAGAACTCCTGTATCCAGACATGTGAAGTTGTGTATAATGAATAAACGAAGGCTCCAATGCACAAATTGGCTGACGCCATTTCTCGCTGAAATTTAGCAACGTGTTTTTTTAATACTGTAGCATATTTGCTCAAAGTAGGAACTGTTTATAAGATCTAAAAGTTTGTGAAGGTGGCATATTGCTGCAAGTATTATGTTTTTGGACATTATCCATCGTCTTGTCTATTTAAAAAAAAAAGGACTGTTTATTTTTTTTAAAACACAACGTTTAGGAGACTGGATTCTGTCCCTGTCCTCCCCTATCTCCGGACCACTTGCAGTCCGGAGATAGGGGAAAGCTCTGTCTGTTGAACCCAACTGAGTAGGTTTTACCTGAGGACGGAGACAGAATCCAGTCTCTGAAATATTCTGTTTTAAAAACAGAAACAGGATGGGTTTTTTAAAAATAGACAAGATGATGAATAATGTCCAAGAACAATACTTGTATGAACTGAAGCCAGAAGAGACAGCTGTTGCTTGTTACACAATGGCTCAGTAGCCGTCATGTGAAGCCCGCAACTGACACCAGAGAACAATAGGAAATCTATTGTAAAGAGTGTTCTCTGCATGGTCGGTGCCGAAGATATATGACGAGGCCCAGTTGTCTTCACTTTACAGAAGACTCTTCAGTAGACAGTTAAAGAAGAGGAAGTTTGTGCGAGACGGCCGCCAACTTGCGAGTACGTGAGGCCTGGATCAGAGAAACGACCCCTGTTGGAAGACGTTACAGAGGAACGCAGTGAAGACAGTGACTGAGCACACTACTCCGTGTGTGATAGTGATTTGTAAAGTGTAATCATGAGTTCTGTGTTGAAGTGTCCATTAAATCCGAACCGCGTCTATAGTCACACTCGATGACGTCACACTCATCCTATTGGTCAGAAATGATGGGGATCAAGTGTGTAGTTACACTGTTACAGTGAAGATGGAGCCACACCTTGGCATGATACCAGCTGCATTCGAATATTTGAATATGTTATTCGTTTTTTCTTCAATATTCGTTAAAGAGGAGCCACAGCCTTCCGTATTTAACCCTCAAACGAGATTATTTCACTATATGCATTTCCTGTTCACTGTCCAAGAGATCAGCTCTATTTATCTACATGGATCCGGACATATTTTGGAGGCAGGGCCCAGCTGTTTCGAATTTAATTGGGGTTATCTGCAATGCCGAGTTTTCTGATTCGTTTAACCAGCTTTCTCAGACTAATGTGATTCCTTCTAAATCCTTACCTTTTTTTTTCCTTGGCACTACAGCCCCAGTGGGCCTAGGCCTACCTCCATGAACTTCTCCGTTCACTTCGGTTTTTCTAGATCTTACACATTCGGTAGGACTCCTTGGGCGGGTGATCAGCTCGTCGCAAGGCCTCTACCTATACACAAACACAGAAAAACGCACACACACAAACTAAACATCCATACCCTGAGTGGGATTCGAACAAAAGATCCCTGTTTCCAAGCGAGCGAAGAGAGTACATGCCTTAGACCTCTCGGCTACCGTGAACGGCCTAAATCCTTACTTACCTTACTATTAATTATAACCACATCTTATTGGACATTACAATTTCGACAGATGAAACTGCACTGTTAGATGGTACTCACCTTGCACTCGATCAGCTCTTGACTTGCTGGGGGGAACTGTCTCTCGGCTCTCCAGCACTGGGGCCTTCTGTGGCTTATCCCCCTCAACACTCTCCTCGTTGCTGCGCCAATACACTGTTGCGATTGTAGCCAGACATTTCAGTTTCATATCACCTCGACGAAAGTGTTTTGGTTTGACACGAAACTCTAAACCCAAAATGGCTGTCTCTAATCCTTCTCTTCCTGTATAGACAGTTTCAGGTCCACGTAGAAAATTGCTGTCAGCCTGTTGGAGAAACATAAATGTTAGTAGCCTCTTGTTCCTTGTCGTATCGCATTTCGTAAATTATAAAAAGTTTTATATGACAAAAACTATAAAATTGCTAATCCAGCATTCTCCTTAAAATCTGAACCTAAACTACTTCCATGTCTTCTACATTAAAAAAGATACTGTCTTATGACACAGTTTAATATTGTGGCACGCAGAGCCGTTGCTAGGCAACGGCCAAGAAAACGCAAATATTAAAATAGTCGTTGCTAAGCAAGGGCTCAGTGAACAAGCTGTTTCCACGGCAACGAGAGAACACAACAATAATGGAAGAGACCTTTTCTACGAGGTCCGTGCCGAGCTGTTATAACCAGTGCCAATTAGCAGTTGCAGTCAGTTCGAGAACTGCTGAGGTTCACTCGTTGTGAACTGTTGCTGTGAGAAGCTGATAGCTGAGGCCGGGTACCGTTCAGGAATCCAGAGGAAGGGGAATGTGCTTCTTTGGTAGCCGCTGCTAAGCAATGACAGTGAAGACGTGACTGCGGACACTAATGTGTATGTAATAGTAAACTGTAAAGTGTAGTCAATCGCTGTATCAAAGTGTGCAATTAATCCAGTCATCAACCCAACCTCAGTCTATAGTCACTCTAACACGTGACAATATCATAAACCTATCTGTGCCTTCATTCTCCATGGTACATATACATGATATCTGAAATGAGAATCATATTACCTGTAAATTTTTCGATCCTATTACTGCAACTAACTACTATGCTCCACCACCACCACCACCACCACCACCACCACCACCACCCATCCATTGCCTATTGCCACCTGCTACCATTACGTAGCCTATACCGCCAACAATGATTGCCTGGTTTCACCAGCAACTGGGTCCTTCCATTATGTACTACATACTGCAACCACTCCCTACTGTCATCACCTACCCTCAGTAACTCCACCATCATTCGTGGAAAAACGCAGAATGAACAATTACGTGATAATGATTCTCTCTCTCCCTCTGTTTCCACAACACAACTACAGGTAACTTAAATAACTGAACTGAAAAGTGAAAATACAAGTATTTTTAGTTGTTCTAAGATATTCCACGAATTTTTCAGTAGTGCAGTAATGGCAAGAAGCATCAAAACACATCACTTTAAACTTCCATGAGTCTTACTCACCTGTTCTCCATTAATGAACCACATGAGCTGTGCTGCTGGCTTGGAGCGCCCTGATGTGCAGTTGACCCGCACAGTATCCCCAATCTGGTAGCGGGGGCGACCTCCCGTAATCCTTGGGCCTTCCTCTGGCAACGCTGCAACATTAACACAATTTCAAAAAAATAATTAATCAATATTCATTTTATTTCTTGCCATAATACAGAGATGGGTCACGGGTTGGATGGCAGGGGTTTGATTCGCTGCGGAAAAAAATAATTTAGAATTCTGTGGAGGGCAGATTTTGTGTTTGAATGCTTTGGAAGTCGAAAGCAGACTTCTTGTTTTTTTGTAACTGACCTGCTCTGAAGCAGTGAGCTTATCGGAGCGTCCGCTTCCACCAAAAATTGCCTCTTTCAAATATGCCTTATTGGCCTAGTTATAAAATTGGAAGATTGCATTTCCTAGTCAGACGGATTTGTTAACCCAGTTTAGCCGTTGAAACACGAAAGCTGCTGGGCCAACGTAATTTTGGTTTACTGCTTGCTTTAAATTTCAAATATTAGGTTACGAAAGCCTCGCCGTGCCGATTACAGTGGCCGCGGGGTCGAAAACATAAATTGTCTTCACCCGCTCAAATACTAGTATCGTGGGTTCGAATCCCATTCGAGGCATGGATGTTTGTGCGGATTTATTCGGTTTTTGTACTGTCCTATGTGCAGGTAGTGACCTTGCGACGGGCTGATCCCCCGTCCAAGGAGTCATATCGACTGTGTAAATCATCAAGAATCTGAGAAGGCGGCCAAGGCCCAAGAGAGGGCCGTAGAGCCTAGATAGACATAGACTCGCCGCCGTGTTCAAAAAAGCAAAAATTATAGGAAAAGTTGCAGGTGGTTGCATTCTGTTCACACAACAAGAACGAGCCTATATCGCATTTTGAATATAAGAACGTGATGATCTCTTCTGATCAATCTTACGACATATAGCTAAAAATTTAGTAGCCTCCAACAAATATTCATTAAAATGCGCCTAATTGTGAGGGAAGGTTACATGGTAGAGTGGAAATGTTATCTTGTTAAACGGTACAATGTCCAAACGTGATAAGAAATTCGAAATTCTACTGGCTAGGTTCACAGAGAGAAACATGGAGAAAATTGCAGTGAAGTAATGTAAAAGTTGTAAGATTCCTGACAAATTAACCTCAAAAGAGACCACCAGCGCCCGATGCGGTGCTTTTCTGTGTATGTTCGACTTCTTTCCTCCCCCCCCCCTTGGCACTACAGCCCCTGTGGGCCTAGGCCTACCTCCATGAACTTCTCCGTTCACTTCGGTTTTTCTTGATCTTACACATTCGGTAGAACTCCTTGGGCGGGTGATCAGCTCGTCACAAGGCCTCTACCTGTATACAAACACAGAAAAACGCACACACACAAACTAAACATCCATGCCCTGAGTGGGATTCGAACCCATGATCCTGGTTTCCAAGCGAGCGAAGACAGTACATGCTTTAGACCGCTCGGCTACCGTGACCGGTATGTTCAACTTTATTTTACTTTATTTTTAATTTATTGTTTAATTAACTATGCTGATAGAGGCTTGGCTAATGCCGAATAAAAGAATGATTAGTGAAAGAATTCACAGGGATGTGGAAGGAAACGATTGTGGCCTAATTTAACCGGGCAATTACCTGGAGGTGCTAAGGAAAGCAACAAAAACTTCAATCGGGCAGTCTGTGACCCGGCCAACATTCGAATCTGGGACCTCCCGATTAGAATTCAGATGGGTTTCCGCTGGAACCAATTTGTTCAATATATTCAAGTTTATGCCAGGAATATTACTTACACGTAAGCACATCTATCGTGTGTGTGCGTTTTTCTGTGTTTGTGTACAGGTAGAGGCCTTGCGACGAGCTGATCACCCGCCCAAGGAATTCTACCGTATGTGTAAGATCTACAAAAACCGAAGTGAACGGAGAAGTTCATGGAGGTAGGCCTAGGCCCACTGGGGCTGTAGTGCCAAGGAAAAAAAAAGCACATCTATTAAGGTTACTTGAGACACTCTCAGTTAGACAATTCTGGAGTAAGAAAAATTCAATGAATGTGAATAAAATCAATGGTCCAAGGACGAGATTAAGGACCGAGTATTCATCTTAATATTTTGTAATTATTTACTTAATTAATTTGTGAACGTTTAGGCGCAAGTTCTGATATTTCAGAAGTTATGTATTTGAAGACAAAGTTTCGGGAAGTCGAAATAGAAACACTTTCCGAAACTGCCAGTTTTCATAAAAAGAACGAGGTAATGATCAACGCGTAAAATTTGACTGCGTTTTATTCAGGCTCCATATATACACGTATGTTGACCTAATGATATAAAAATGGTGAAAATTCATGGTATGTTTAAAGCTATGGTGACAGTATTTCTCCCAGACGTTAACGATACTCATGAATATATTTTACCCAACACAAAATCGAATATTACATACATGTAAAAAAAAAAATCTGGTTTATTTTTATGCAACTTCTACCCTCTCTTCCTTGGGTAATACCTACCCTTACTGTAAAGGGTCCCATTCCATAATACTAAGATTATAAAAATTAAGAAGCAAGAATTATTCGTGGTTTTATTAATAGAATGCTAAGGATGAAAACTAAGATGGTAGTAATAATGATAGTGGAAAATACCTGCCCTTAATTAGGTACTGTTGTCTCTACCTTTGAAGTAATATGTTACTTCTAGACAACTGCGTTGCTTATTCTCTCAAGCCATCTTTCAGAATATCTCAAGTTCATAACGTGAAGACTTACTGAACGCTATTACGTATAAAAAAATTGATAAATCGGAGGGTTATCTGTGGGTACTGCAACTAGAGGTGGAAATCCAAGTATTTTTCTGATTATCTGTTTCAACCCCGATATTAAAATAACTTATCATTTACTGTGACGTGGTGCCTAAGTTTTTAAAATAACCTTCCCCCAGAAAATAACAATATTCTTCAGAAAGAAACACGATATATTGGAGGACTGTTCCAGTAATGGGCTTATGAAGAAGTGCATATGTATATTTCGTGTTCCAAACATTAAGATTTATGGTGATTTCGGTAAAAAAAAAAAAAGGTGTTCTGGCGCAAGAAATATGGAAGAGGAGGGGATGAGATCCATTCCAAAACATCGCACTATGAACAGGCCGCGCACCAGTAGGAATAAATTGTATAAAGGGAGAAATCAACCCCAGCTGTTGCTGCAGAGGGGTTGCAGCTTCGATGGGGGAGTTAAGATTCTTTTTATTCGCCAGAGCGTCTTCAATGACAGCGAGAGCGGGATAAGTCATACATTCCAAGCTGTAAACAATCTAATTATATAGGTGCCAATTTTACTGGAAAATAAATTCTAGTATATCTGCTCTCAAAGTCAACATACCACGTGATAAATATGTTTAACTTTCCTGTCGTAATTTACGACCACTAATCGATGATCTTTATGTCTTTATGCCACTCGTTTTATTCATTATACCAGCATACAAACTGACAGACAGTGTGTTCTGACTCCTGAACTCTCATGGTAAGAGGTAAAGTTGCCCCTGTGCTTAAATAAATAAGTACTAAGCCATCAAGGCGTATGGGGTTTGAGGTGTAGCTCCACCAATCTTCATCTGAAATAGATGGAGATTACTGAAACCTCCTCGGCCGCTTCCCCGCTGGGAAAAGTCTCAAGTATTCACTGGATAGGATGCTGAGTGGGACCCAGAGTCAGTCTCGACGCTGTGGATAGGAGACAAATTCATTTCCCCTGCCGGATGTCGAAGTCTGGTCGTCCAGGGGTCTAATTGTTTAACTATCAAACGAAAACAAACTCAGTGGCCTGTAGTCCGCAAGCGAACTATACCGATCGAGCGACCGCCGCTTGTCGGCGAAGTTAGTGCCAACTTTAGCGGTTAGAGGGTGTTGCGTGGTCAGCGCAACGGTTCCCCAACGGCTGTTAATCTCGATTTTCTAGACCAAAGCCGCTATTTCCTTGAAATAGCTCCTCAGTTATCATCACGAGGCTGAGTGGACCCCGTTCCAGAACGACTACTTCTCATAAAATCTGGTAGCGCCGGGAATCGAACCCGGGACCTCTGGATCTGTAAGCAGGAACTCTGACCACTAGATCACAGAGGCGGCCTATTGTTTAACTGTGCGAATAATAATTATTTTTGTAAGACTGGAGAAACCATGAGATGAGACGGTGACAATAATTGTAATATAACTTGCTTTACGTACACTTTCGTACAAGTGAACGTGAACTCTTTTCTGAAGTACATTCATTATGCTACTGAACTCAGCTGCACTGTTGCGCTTTCGTTAACTCGATAATTGCCCCATGGGTCTCATAAAAGGTAAATAATCTTTTACCTAGTTGAGCGACTGTTAGCTTCTCAAAGAAAGACTTTGCTTATGAAGTTAGGTTCAATCAGCGTTTCATTTATTTGTGGGAAGTTTTCAGGTATATGGATCCGATATTCGGCAATTACGGGTCACTATATGGGCGCCTGGCAGACGCTCGGACCATTCAGATCTCATAACATCCCCCTTAGCCGTAAAGTGCATATAATTGCTCTTTTTTTCTGCGAATATGAGAAAAATTTGGCTAAGTTGTAACTAACCACTTTTTATATCTCCAAATTTAAAGATTTTAAAATGAAGATCCGTCATAATTCTTTTGAATTCAATTATTTTATTTACTATATATCATATAATACTATGTACAATCTGGTGGACCGCTACTGACCACACTTTGCTTTTCGGCATTCTCAACATCAGCCCTAGACGTAGGCCAGCTTGATGTTCCAGCTGGCTATATACTCGGGGAAAGCCCGCACAGTAGCCGCTGAGTAAGGCTGGGGCCACACGAGCGCACAAAACGCGTCCGTTGTAGAAATAAACAAGAGAGGCGAATGCTAAGCTTTCTTCTGGCTCCATTGCAGACAAAGAACTACACACCGCATTCTGCAACTGTGTGGTGTCCTCAGCAACGTCCGTCATAAAGTACGTCGTTGCAACGGACGCATTTTGTGCGCTCGTGTGGCCCCAGCCTAAGAGTAAAATTGAGGCTGTTTGAATGCGGAGGAGAAAAGAAACACTCCTGCCTCCGCAGAAAATCGAAGAACACAGATGTAT